TGTATCCTGCATTAGTATATTGTGTGATTCAATATGACAGATGTAACTGCAAAGGCTGGGTTAGCGGGTACAGGAACTAATTCCAGACCACAGTTAGATTTTACAATCTCTCAGCCTGTCTCTGCCTATAGGATTACTAGTGGTTTGTTGAATAGGCAAAACTTTGCAGCGTGGATTCAATCACTCTGTCTTTACTTAGGGGGCAAGGCTAAGTCTCACTGGTTTCTAGAATCTGAGGTTCTGCCCCCGATGGTGATCCCAAATGGGTTTAGTGGGATATTGATAACTGTACTATGTTGAGTTGGATTTTCAACTCAATGGAAGCCCAGGACGGAGGCAAGAAGAAAAATTCTGATACGGTACCTCATCTATGGAGTGTTTTGTCACAAATGTATGCCCATGTACAAAATGGTGTTCGTATCTTTGAGCTTTATTAGGATATTTCTCATGCATCTCAAGATGCTTTGGGTTTTTCTGTGGCAGAATTCTTTGGTTACTTATAGGCTCGTTGGGAGGAGTTAGCTCAGTATGAGCCTCTGAGTGATTTTCTTACCAAGGTTGCATCTACTGTGGTCAAGCATCTTAGTCGGCTGCATACTTGTTAGCTCTTGATGGGTTTGAAACCTGAATTCAAATCCCTTCAAATTTAGATTTTAAACACCTCTCCTATGCCCTCCTTGTACGAGGCTTTTGCTACTATTGATAGTGAGGAATGTCACCATCGCCTAATTCAGTTTGCTTCTTCTCCGATTCTTGAGACTTTGGTTTTACCTAACCAAATGGCCCTTCTTGTTAACTCTAGATCTCGTGCTCCTACTAGGAAAATTGTTTGTCATCATTACGAGAAAGTTGAGCATGTTAAAACTCGTTGTTTCAAACATTATGAATATAGTATGCTCAAAAGTGCTCTTAAGGTTCCACTCGTACTGTTGAGACCTAGTACTTCTGATTTGCACCGTCTCCAGTCTTAGTTTGGGAAACTTTAGGAGCAACTTGGCTCCCTTACTACCCAGGCCTCGAATACACCTTCGACATTGACCACCACCCTTGCTATAGGTACTTCTACTACTTTTCATGTTCGGTCTACGAAACCTACTTGGGTTCTAAATTATGGAACCAATGATCATATAATTGGTGAATTCTCCCTTCTTGCTTCCCATGTCCTTACCAATAGACAAAGCGTCTGTTTGGAAGATAGTTCTATTACTTGTGTCAACCATATTGGTGACTCCCTCTCTACTGATATTACCTTATCGTATGTCTTTTATGTTCCCCATTTTTCCTATAACCTTCAGTTTGTGAGCCATCTTGCTAATGGATGTGCTATTATTTGTTTACCCACTCATTGTTTGTTATAGGACCCAAGTTCAAAGAGGATTTTTAGCAGGGGATATGAGTGCAATGGTTTATAGTACTTTGGCGAGCTTGTACTACCACTACCTACTACATCGAGTCTGCAAGCTTCTATTTTATTTGAGTCAAAGTCTTATTTTTTTCCTCTTCAAACTTTGCATTTGTGACATGCCCGTTTAGGGCGTGAATTTTCAATATTTGTCTCTTGTTTCCTCATTGAATAAAGCTTGTCGAAGTTATAAGTTCCAATGTGGTGTGTGAATTATCTAAACATATTCATACTAGTTATATTCCTCGTATGTCTCGTGCTTCCAGTATATCTAACCTTATTCACTCTGATGTCTAGGAACCTTCCCCAGTTACTGCTTTTTCTGTGCACCACTATTATGTGACCTTTATTGATGATCATTCTCGTTGTACATAGGTTTATTTTCTTAAAAAGAAATCGGATGTGTTGCTCGTCTTTACTCAGTTTCTTCAAATGATTAAAACTCAATTTCATACCATTGTTCGCAATATCAGGTCTGATAAAGGGGGAGAATATATTTCTGATTAATTAGAAAAGGTATTCTCCAATACCTCTCTTATGCCTATACCCTAGGATAGAATGGTGTTGCAGAGCGTAAGAATTGTCACATTATGTCTATTGTTTGGTGTCTTCTTTAGGGCGTGCATGTTCCCAAACCTTACTAGCACATGGTTGTTCTTATTGCTATTTTCCTTATTAATAGGACTCTGAGTCAGGTCTTAAACAGACCCCTATCCAAGTACTTCATCCTGGTACTACTTTATTTCCCCTTTTACCTTGAGTTTTTGGGTTTACTTGCTTTGTCCAAAATCAAAGTCCTACTCGGACTAAGTTAGATGATAAGTCCATTAGGTGCATCTTTCTAGGCTATTCGACTTTCTCCAGAGAATACATGTGTTATGATCCTCTCTCTCGTTGCATGTATCACTCTCTTGATATCACTTTTTTTGAGGATGTCCCATTCTATAGTACTAATTCTTTATTGCAGGAACCAGTTTCTCATGTTTCTATGGAGAAGAAATCACCAAGTGCTTGGCATATTCCTCTGTTTGATAGTGATCCAATATCTTCCTCCGTGATTCCAACTCCACAGCCTCCTCATGATCCCTTGGTGGTCATCCCTTTATCTCTTATCACTTCCTCTCCCCATGCTCTCCTGTTGCAAACATACTCTTGCTGCCCCCGCACTCAACCCCCTCCAGAGCCTCCTTCGGCCCCTGGTCCAGGTACTTCTTCTCTTTCTCCACCACCTCAATATCCTCCTTTAACTCGTCATCTCCTTCCTAGTATGGTTAGTTTAGTAGTACTAAACATCCTATCTCCCAGTATCTCTCTTATGATGGTCTTTCAAGATCTTATCAGGCCTTCCTTGGGAAGATCGAGTCTGTGTCTATTCCTCAAACTATTTCTTACGCTTTCCAGAATCCCAAGTGGGTTTTTGCTTTGCAAACCGAAATGGCTGCCATGTAGCATAATCACACTTGGGATCTTGTCTCTCTTCCCTCTAGGGAAAAGACCATTAGGTGTAAATGGGTCTTCAGCGTGAAATACTTGGTTGATGGTTCCGTGGATCACTATGAGGTTTGGCTTGTGGCTAACGGTTTCACACAAGTTCCACATAAAGATTTTGACGCCAGTTTTGCTCCCGTGGCTAAGTTGACCACTGTTCGCCTCTTAGTGTCCTTAGTGACTTCCCATTCTTGGCCTCTTCATCAGCTTGATATCAAGAATGTCTTTATGCGTGGGGATTTACTTAAGACTATTTTTATGGATCCTCCACCCAAATTTTGGGCTAAGGGGGAGTATGTTAGGAAAGTTTGTTGTCTTCGTAAGTCCCTCTATGGTCTTAAGCAGTCCCCATGAGCGTGGTTTAGTCATTTTAGCACTGTCATGTTATCCTTGGATTTTGTTCAATGCCATTCGGATCACACCTGTTTTATTCGCCGAGGTCTGATAGTCAATGTATCATCCTATTGGTGTATGTGGATGATATCATTCTTACCGGGGATGATTCTTCCGGAATTGCTCAGGTCAAGCAGGATCTTCATAATAAGGCATTTGATATTGAGGATTTGGGACCTCTGAAGTACTTTCTTGGTCTTGAGGTGGCTAGATCTCACCATAGGACATCTCTCTCTCTCTCTCAGCGCAAATACACTCTAGATCTCCTTAAAGACACTGCTATGTTAGGATGCAAACCAGCTTCCACCTCCATGGATCCCAATCTCGAACTCTCAGCTAAGTCAGGAAAGCCCATGCCTAATCCATTCATGTATCAGTGTCTTGTTGAGTGACTTATCTACTTGACCAACACCAAACCTTATTTGACATTTGCAATAAGTGTTATGAGTCAATTTATGCATGCTCCTCGCTGAGCTCATCTAGATGCAATATATCATATACTAAGGTACCTTAAGACTTGCATCGGATTGGGATTATTCTTCTCAGTTGGTCTTCAATCTAGAAGCTCATGCTTCACTAATGTTGATTATGCAGAGTCCAAGATTGACAAATGCTCTACCTCTGGTTTTTGCACTTTCTATGGAAGTCATCTTCTATCTTGGAAGAGTAAAAAGCATGCAATTGTCTCAAAATCCTCAGCTGAAGCTAAGTATAAAACTATGGTTCAAGGTACTTGTGAGATATTATGGTTTCGATCTATTCTTGATGAGTTGGGTTTTGTGGACAAAGGATCTTCTCAATTGTTCTGTGATAATAAGTCAATCATTATGCTCTCCTCAGTCTCTGTTCTTCATGAGAGATCTAAGCATATCCACTTTATTCGGGAGAAAGTTCTATCTGGCACAGTGGTTCCTTCTTTTGTTCCATCACCAGAACAAACAACCGATATCTTCACCAAATCAGTGGGTTCACCCTTACTTCAGTCCTCTATTGTCAAGCTGGATTTGGTTAATATCTTCGAACTAGCTTGAGGGGGAGTGTTGAAATTAGAATTATTGTAAATCCCATGATTACGGATCATGGGATTTTAGGACTGATTTGATTTCTTTTACCATATTTTTTGTATTTCCTTTTTCCTTTATTTACTTTTTCTTGTGTATCACTTGCTATATATGTACACGGCAAACCCTTGGTCTGATTCCATTCTAACGCAGCCATTTCAGATTGCATGGCAGCAACCCACTTGGGATTTTGGAGGGCCTCAGACAGAGACCAAGGAATAGAGTTAGAATCAAGTTTGCCAAGAAAAGAGCAGTAAAAATATGAACGGCCATCAGATGTGTGACATCAATTATATATAGAATTATATATGAAACACAATGTAGTAATTTGATGTCCATGAGCCATTGAAATGTGCCCAAAGCAATGAATCCTTAAATGCTAGATTCACAAAATAATTCAATTTCCCCCTGTAGATAGTTACAACAGTTTTCCTCTCTGTAAAAAATTTTAGTGCCCCCACTAACTAGAGAAAAATGTAAGGGAAACTAGATGCGAAAGTCAACATTTCAGTGATACCTGGTTGGCAACATAATTTACTGTATTTAACACATCTACTGCATCAAACATAGCAGCAACAACAACAACAAAAAAAAAAAAAAAAAAAAACCCTTAGAATCCACAAAAAAATAATTTTGAGACCTGAAAAATTTAGCACCTGATCAAGTTGGTGAGAATTTGTCGTATCCTTAGAACATCACCAATAACCTGAAATTAATGCATGTTGGTTAATACATAAATATTTGCAAACCTGAATAAAATACTAGAAAAGTTTTCCAGCATCTGCGGTGACAAGTTTATACAATGTGAATTAATGCACAAATGTAATAGTATGACATTGATAACATCATCTACATGTAACCCTATCTGCAAAAGTCTTTCAACCACCCCATTTTGAAATATATCATTACCAATTTGAATGTCTTGTTAGCATTGTTAGCATTATATCTTTATTATTGTCTTTCCTTATTTAATTGTAATGGGCTGTCGTTAGTTGTCATGGTCATTAGCTGTAAAAGCTTCTCATGTAAGTTTCTAGTCTTTAATATAACCTATTGCTCAGCTTTGACTGATTGTACTGCTTCCTATGGTCTGTGGTTGATATTATATGTGCTTTGTTTCCGGTTGACGTTCTTTCCTCCTTCTACCCATAGTTGTGATTGTTGCAGGTTGTTGTTTGGATCTAGAATAAAACAATGGCTGATGTTACCAGTGAATCCACCACTAGTTCTCAGCCACCTAGAGGGGAGAGAATCCCGTTATTACTACTACATCCGAAAGCCTTAATTCTAGCCTAAAAATCACCACTTCTTTGTTTAATGGTCAGAATTATCGTGCATGGTCACAATGTCTAACACTTTTTTTGAAAAGCCGAGGGAAGATGGGTTATGTTGATGGGAGAATCAAAGCAACTAGCACCACTGATTTTGGTTATGATCAATGGGAGATTACGAATTCTCTAATTATAGGGTGGCTCATCCATTTGATGGTACCTGATATTGGTGAGGGATACTTATCTATCGATACAACTCAAGATATTTGGGATGTCGTAGCCAACTACCTATTCTTGGAAGGGAAATTTTTCACAAACCTTTGAGTTGCGCCTCTCAAGTGAGCACTCAGTACAGGGCAAGATGATCATCCTTCAATACTTCACCTTCCTTAGTAATGGCTGAAAGCGCCTTGATCATCTAAAGGACTACAAACCAGTTTGCCTACCGCAAATTCATTGAACAAGAGAGGGTATTAAATTTCTGGAGGTTCTCAATTTGGAGTTTGATCCAGTTCGGAGCCGTGTTCTTGGCATGGCTGTTCTACCTTCCCTTCAGGAGGCCTTTGCTTATGTGCAGAATGAGGAGAGTTACCATTCTGCTATGCTTTCTCCTGCCTCCATTGAGTGTTCAGCCCTAGTCTCTGCTCCTCCCAAGGACGGGGATCGTCTTTCCTGTATTTATTCTGTGATTACTGTCACCGGCCTAGACACACTCGTAAGACATGTTGGAAGCTTCATGGTGCTCCATCTGGTGGTCGTGGTGACTGCTCTAGGAGTTGTAAGGCCGATCAGAATAGTCTAGAGGATGTGGTTTCAACCCACGTGCCCATCATACTAGTGTAGTTGATACACATGATTCTGCTCCAGTTGTTCAACCTAGTAGTGATGTGTTTGGTATATCCTCCTCTGAGTTTGAGAATGCCTTGCGCTATTTGCTGGCTCATCATTCTTCCAACACTCCTACATGCCCATCCACTTCTGCATTTGCTCATTCAGATAACTTAGCCTCATCTGCAAGTACTTTTCTATCCCATACGTCTTTACCTTCGATCATTGATTCTGGTGCTTCAGATCATATATATGGATCTTCTGATCTTTTTTCAGAATATAAGCCCTCTTTAGATCAGGACAAAATTAGAATTGCTGATGGAACTGTCTCTTCTGTTTCTAGAAAATGTTTAATCCATGCCACAACTTCTCTTCCTTTGCCTTCAGTTTTACATGATCCAATTTCTTTGTTAATCTTTTATTATTGAGTCGTATTACTTGGGACTTGAATTGTAGTGTGACTTTTTCTCTTGATCATTGTATTTTTCAAGATCTTATCACAAGGAGCACGATTGGCAGTGGTAAAGCAGAGTATAGTCTCTACATCCTAGATCAAGCAGACATGTTGGCTCATCATTCCGTCTAGCTTCCGACCACCAGAGAGGACATTTGGTTGTGGCATCAGCATCTTGGACATCTGTCGTTTTTATTACTTAAGCATTTATTTCCTTCTTCTTTTATAAACAATAATGTTTCTCAGTTTAATTATGAGTCGTGTCTACTTGGTAAACAATATCGAGCCTCTTTTGCTTCTAGTTTTAATAAAAGTTTAGTTCTTTTTTCATTAATTCATTTTGATGTTTGGGATCCATCTTGTGTTGTTTCATTAAAAGGTCATAGATGGTTTATCACATTTATTGATGATTTTTCTCGTGCTACTTGGGTGTATCTTATGAAAGACGAGAGTGAAGTTTTCTCTGTGTTCCAAACTTTCCATCAGATGATCCGTACTCAATTTGGGGCAATTGTCAAGATTTTGCGTTCTGATAATAGGGGTGAGTATCTTGATTTGGGTTTAGGGCACTATTTTAGCACCCATAACATTATCCATTAGACGTCTTGCACCACCACCCCTCAGCAAAATGGGGTTGTGGAACACAAGAGTCGTTATCTCCTTGATATAACTCGCTGCATGACTTTTTATGTACATGTGACTTGGTCTTACTGGGGTGAAGTCGTTCTCACCGTTGCCTATCTTATCAATCGCCTTCCTACTCAAGTGTTACACAAACAAACTCCTCTTTAGGTGTCGCGCTCAGTCTGTGTTGTCCATTCCCCCAAGAATCTTTGGGTGTGTCTGCTTTGTCCACAATCATTCCCCTACTTGTGGTAAGTTGGATCCTCGCTCCATTAAATGCGTCTTTCTTGGTTATTCACCTACTCAGAAAGGGTATAAATGTTATCATCCTCCATCTCATAAGTGGTTTCTGTCCATGAATGTTACATCCTTTGAGTCACAGTCCTACTTCTTGTCTCCTCTGGTTTTCCAGTCATCCCTTTAAGGGTAGCCTTGGGTGTGAAGAGATTCATAGATCTTCACTAGTTATGAAGGATGTTGTACCTATTATTGAGAATGTAGAGTGTGAACCAGCTATTGGGAATACAGAATCCAATATATTCAAGGAGCAAGAGAAAGTTTATGTCAGGGACAAAGAAAGACAGGTGGTTACTTGGATCCAACAGACCACTTATCCTAATCTTCCACTACCATCTCCTCCAACTGATGAGAGTCCAAGTAACTTTGATAACTCTGAAACCCTTGTCACTCTTGAATCTATTGATCTTGATATTCCTATTGCTAAATGGAAGGGTGTGAGGTTATGTACTCAACATCCTATCTCTAACTTTGTATCTTACTCTAATTTGTCCCCCTCCTATAGAGCTTTTGTGTCAAAAATTTCCTCTATCAATACAACTAATCATTTTTAGGATGCTCTTACAACCTCCAAGTGGAAACTTGCTATGATTGAAGAAATGAAAGCACTTCGTAAGAATGACACTTGGGAATTGACTGAGTTACCCAAGGGAAAACAAGTTGTGGATGCAAGTGGGTGTATAAAGTGAAGCACATGGCGAATGGTTTGATTGAGTGTTATAAAGCTTGGCTTGTGGCAAAGGGCTTTACTCGGACCTATGGAGTGCACTAACAAAAGGCATTTGCTTCAGTTGCAAAGATAAATTCAGTCAGGATACTCTTCTCTCTTGCAGCTAATCTAGATTGACCCCTTTCACTAGTTTGATGTGAATAATACTTTCTTACATGGTGATCTAGAAGAAGAGGATATGGACATTCCTCCTGACTTTGAAGACCTTCAAACAAAGGGTAAGGTGTGCAGGTTTAAGAAATCATTGTGTGGTCTCAAACAATCCCCACAGGATTGGTTTGAGAGATTTACCCAAGCAATGCTTAGATATGGTTTCAAATAGAGTCAAGCTAATCACACATTGTTTGTTAAACATTCCTCACATTGTAAGACTACAACACTTATTGTTTATGTGGTTGACATAATGCTTACAGGAGATGATATGGAGGAGATGCCTCGGTTGAAGAAATATTTGGCAAGAATGTTTGAAATAAAAGATTTTGGAACCATGAAGTATTTCCTGGGTATTGAGGTTGCTCGATCTAAGGACGGAATTTTTATTTGTCAAAGGAAATATATTCTTGACTTGTTGAAAGAGACTGGAATACTTAGAAGTAGACCTTGTGACACACCACTAGAGCTGAATCAGAAGCTTAGTGATGATAGTGGGGGAGCTACTATTGATAGAGGGAGCTATCCGAGACTAGTAGGTAAACTCATTTATATATCTCATTCTCGTCCCGACATTAATGTTGCTGTCAATGTGGTTAGGTAGTTCAAGCATGCTTCTCATGAGGCACACTTGGATGCAATTATGAGAATTCTTAGGTACTTGAAAGCTTCTCTTGAAAAGGGGCTATATTTTTTCCAAACATGATAATCTTAGGATGGAAGCTTATACAAATGTTGATTGGGTAGGATCAATAACTAATAGGAGGTCCACATTGAGATATTGTAAATTTTAATGGGGGCAATCTAGTTACTTAGAGGACTAAGAAACAAAATGTGGGTAGCATGTCTAGTGCAAAGATAGAGTTAGAGCCATTGCACAAGGTGTGTGCGAACTCTTGTGGATCAGGTTGTTGTTGAGTGATCTGGAAATTGATCAGACGGACTCCATGAAACTATGTTGTGACAATAAGGCTGCTATCAACATAGCCCACAATCCAGTTCAACATGACCAGACAAAACACATTGAAATTGATCGTCACTTCATTAAGAAGAAACTCACTAGTGGCACTATATATACTCATGTTAAGTGTTATTGTTATCTAAGGGTAGTTTAGTACTTTAGCTTATGTTTATGTTTATTAGCTTAAATACGTATGCTTAAGTTGTAACCCTATTATCATTGAAATAATATTACAGCAGTTGCTTCTCTCTTTCTCTCTCGGTTTATTCTTCTTCCTCTTCTTCTTCATTTGTGAAGCTAACATGGTATTAGAGCCTTCTCTTCCTCCTTGAAGAATTTTTCCTGGTCTTTCTTTATTTTCCTCTTGTTTTTTCATTTTTTTGTGTACAAC